GGCCTAAAGAAATGGGTGCTATTTTTTTTCAAGATATAATGTTAATACAGATTATGAAGAAGTTGAACATTGGGGGCTGGGGAAAGAAAATTAAGGAGTCCATGGGGAACTGGGAAAAGCAGCTAAAAAAAATGGTAACTGTGTTTGTTCCAGCCAAAGCTGTCTGTCTTCTGCTTATCACAGCAGCAATGGCTTTCGGCTTCTTCTGTTGATCATTCATTAAGAACATTGAAAAAAATCTCTTATTTTTTCTGATTGCCAATATTATTTGATTTTGGGGTTTTTTTCCCCTTGCTTGCAGACTAAGAGGCAGAAATTCTCTCATTCTGCCTGAATAGAGGAAGCGATTCTTCCTCTGACTATCCTGCACTTTCCGTGGCTAACTTCAGTGGTAGGCAGAGATTTTCATACTGTCTCATTAACTGGTAGGACAAATGAGCACAGTCATATACTTGTAGGAAACTTCTGTACCTATTCTCTCAAAAGACAGAGCTCCATGGCTTCCCCTGACCCTTCTGATTTTACTTACCTAACTGAAAAACATTCCCTAAACTTGTTGCCTAGTTGCCTGGTATGGAATCTCAATTCCTACAGAGGAACTGCTGGAGAGTAAATTTTCTAAATAGTTAGCCAGCAATTGCAAGGAGACTGGAAATAAGATTTGTATTCAGGGTGAGAGTTGACCTATATCTTCATCTTGTAGTTGCACTAAAATGAATACGCTGCACAGATTATAGCTGGGAACAATTTACTTGCTGCCAAGGATACTTTGAAACTAGTCTTCCTGAATAGATACCCCTTAAGGATTTTGCTTAAGTCACTGCATGTTTTAGAGGTTCATGTAATAGGAATAGCATCTATGCTATGGAGTCTGTTTCTGTGCAGAATTTAACAGTTGAAAATTGATGAGAAGCAATCTGAGGTAATTTTTTTTCTTAAGATTTCCTTTTTTCCTGCAAGAATAGGAGAGAGACAGTTTGCATTCTCTTTCAGAGACTAACTAGTCACTTGCACAAAAAGAACATTGAAAGAAATGATTAAAAATACCACAGAAAATCTCTGATGGGTGCTTGAAAGCCGTCGTTGCCAAATGGTTTTTGTTCATGCACCCCTCTCAGTAAAAATTTTGAGCATGCATCTTCAGTGTTTAACTTATAAAAAAATACATGTATGTACTACTGTACTAACATATTATGTACATCATAAAACATGCACAAAAACAGAAATGAGAAAAGAATGAGATAAAGGTGAAATAAACACTGAATTAAGAAAAGTTTTATTTATTAATAGTATAAGAAGTATTTTCTTCCTGCACCCCCAGTGGGTTGCCTAGCGCACCCCCTGGGGTCTACAAAGCCCACTTGGGAGATCAGTGCTCTAAAGCATGCAAACTCTTACTAGTTGCTTTGTTGTGATAGTGTTTGAAGAGCTTGGTAAAAACTGGAAGGAAACAGACTACAGTGATCAGTTAGGGCATTCATCAGAGCTTTGGGAGATTGCCAACTGCTTGCATTTACTGAATTTTTGGCTATTTCCTGAAGATGAGTGACCATTCCAACATTGAAACTAATGATATTTCTTGTCTGGTAGTAGCAGTCCTTTAGGTTTATAGGCTGCTCGTCGATTTGTTCTTCTAAAACAGCAAAACTTTGGAACTGTTGCGCTCCCTCAAGCTGATGACATTCTTCTTGCTGAATCACACTGCATAGCTCTTCTTGTTTCTACCTCTCTCTCCATAGTGCTCTCTTGAAAATGGTAATTCTCACAAAACGGTACAATCTCTATCCAGCATATGGTAGGATCTTTTATCTAGCATAGGCTGCCAGAGTACTTTTGCTATATTTAAATAGACTGATTGAATCCTGGTCTTTCTAATTGAGGGAAAAATGAATACATTTTAAAGCTGATTTTAATTATATATGAAGTGGTGGATGATTGAAAGAAGTTTTTAGCTGTATGAAGTGCTTTAGAGCCCTAGCTGGGCATGAGAGCACCCAGCAGTGTCTACGGGTCAGCACTGTTTGTAAGTGAAGCATTCTGTACAACATTGTCAGCTGTTCGTTTCAGCCACAAGTATTTTTGCCTACTTTTTCCTTTTAATATATCACTGCATCTCCCTAATTTGCTTAACAAATGGTAGGATTAATTTCCAATTGGCCTTTTCAGGGGTTTATAGAATTAGCCAACCTTGGTAACAGGCCCAAATTAAAAAAAAAAAAAAAAAAAAGTTGGTTACTTTTTTTAATTTAACTGTGGAAAAACAAACTAAACTGTCAGCTTTAATCTCTGAAGCAGGTGCACAAACATAACATCTGTGGCTTTGTTCAGTAGTCTAGCCTTGACTAATAAGCTGTTCTTAGGTCAAACTGTGACCTTTCATAGATCTTTCATTAACACTTTCAGAATAGTTTTCTTAACTGTTTCTTAGAAGTAGGCACACTTCTATGAGTAAGCGGGTGCACATTAGTCAGCAGTTCTGTGAAATAACAAGGCTGTAAGTGATCCCTCCTCTAGTCACATTATCGGTCATCACTGCAACCTCATCTGCCTAACTTGGAAGTCCCAAAGCTAAGAACAGTTAAACTAATATTTTGTTGTTGCTGTAGTGCTGTTTTGGAACCATGGTTTTGAAAACAATTATTCAAGTACAACTTCTTAATCACAAAGCTGGTTCTTTCAGAGAGTGTTTAAATGATGCAATAGAAATGAAATAGGCTTATTTACTTTCAAGGAAGAAGAGCAAACATTTAATGAGCTCTACCTTATGTTTCTCAGATGTCTCTTGCCTTTTAATTTAGTAAACCTTTTGCTTTGCATATGAAGTTCCAATAGAATTGTTCTTTGATATGTGCGCATAGGTAGTATACCCTATTTATATGTGACGTTGTATGGTCTTTTGTTGTAAAATCAACCTTCCACATATTGAAATCGGTTAGTAAAGCCTTCACTAAAAAGCTAGAATGGTCTAGTGCTGTCAGGCATATAGGCTGATTTTGAGCAGACAAAACCAAACACCCTAGCTGCTATAGGTGTTAAAAAGAACACAATGTTTGTTACTGCAGTAACAGGTACTGTATAAGTGCTTTGTATGTATTAATAGCAGCATACAAGCTACTGGGTAGGTTAACCCTGTCTTAGTTTTTCCCTACTCCAGAAGCATGTCTGAACCTCTTGACAAGCGCTAGAGGTTGAAGTTGTAGGGGTGGCATTTGGTTTTAGATCAAAATTATTTAGGATAGTAGAATGTAATTTGTGGGAAACATGGTAACTTCCAATTTGTCCCATAGTTTCAAAATAGAAAGGGAAAGGACCAGCAAGTATCCTAAATGCATATGTACTTTTACTGTATTTAAAAAAACAACTGTTATATGGTGATCTGAAGTGTTGAAGTTCAGTGGTAGAACTTCTTATGACTTAACCACGGTCAGCCTTATCTGTTAGAATCCTCAAGCTGATAAGCACTGTGGTCTCTGCCAAAAATGCAGCTAGCCTTGTTTTTTCTTATGTCTCTTTTGGTGTTTTGTGTTTTTTTTTTTTTTTCCAAATTGATGTTTGTTTTCATGCTGTCTTGGTTGCTACTTGCAGGGTCTGTTTCATCTGGAGTGTTCTTTGCTGTCTCCACTAGTTTTTCTGAAGGGCTCTACATGCTTTCGTTTTTGGACCTGTAGGGTACAGCTGCTTACCCCCACTGACTGTTCTAGATCCTTTTTAATCCTGTGTCTGCTGGCAGTTAAATCTTTTTGAGCTTTACATCCTCTTCAGTATGCTCAACAGACTGTTATCTATTTGTCGCAGTTGCACTGTCAAACTTCTTGTCACCTTAGCTTTGCAGCTTCACTTATAAGTCTTAGCATTTTTTCTTGATTTTTATTATGCTGTTACAGCTTAAAGTTGATCCTCATATTTTTACTTGTTTGTTCTAATCAAAGGTTATATTTTAAATAACTATGTGGAAATCGCTTTTTGGAATCTGGCTTCCAAGATTAGCCCCTTCATTGCAAATACCCACAGTTGCTCTGCTATAGTAATAGTCTTCAAAACATGAACTGATAAAGTGTCATGTTTGTGCTTTGTCACTTCAGAGATGATTTATGTCTGGTAAGACACTTCACTTGCATGAGGATGAAAAGCATGTAACTTTTGTTTGCTGCCAAATGCTTACAGAAAGTCAGCCAAGTTCTGTAAACTTTTGGAGAGCTTTTTTGGCATTCAGTATTTCTGCAGGTAGTCTTTAATAGCTAACCATAACGTACTAAATGCTGTATCTCGTGGACAGGGCACTAACTTCTATCAGTTTAGGTACCTTTTCTAGTTGTAGTGTAAGTCTCCAGCCTGTCAATACCTTACCACTGCTATAGGGCATTACACACCCCAGAGTCTCAGAAGGGGGCGATTTCTAAATGTAGTAGGAGTTAGTGGCAGCTTTTCTTAGTCATCTGTTTATTTTGAGCTTTTATTTTGGTTTAAGTGAGTTGTGTACTGGAGAGAGGGAGGCCTGTAGCATCATCTTCTTTCACGTGTGTGGGGGTTTTGTTTCCTTAAGTGAGGTGGTATCAGACACTGATGCCTGGGAACAGTCACATTTTGGCTGTGATAATTCTAGAGGCTTTCAGTCGAGATGATAGTGCAAACCAAGTTGTTTGAAGCACAGCGAGTAGCCCGTTTAAGTTATAGGAACAAAGAAAATAGGAGAGACAGTTCTGCAAAACAATGGTAAAATTGTCATAAATAAGCTTTTCTGATTATTTTCTTCTTCCTTTTCACCTCTATTCCTTTAGGTCTCTGCCTAATAGCCTTTCTTCTTTACCATTTCTTCTCTTTCTAATCAAATATCATATTATAGCCTGTTCAGACAAGAAAGATGACAGTTAAAGAAGGCTTGCAGCTCTTGAACAGTATCTTAAAGACAAACTAATTTCTCACAGTTCTGAAGAGATACCTCTATATAAAGGTTTGAATATGCTGGTCAGGCAAAATTAAATGGTGTTCTATAAAGAACAATGTTTAATTGTAAGTGAGGTGGTATTAATGTAACTTTCTGGTCAGTACTGAAGCAGTTTATACTAAAGCTGATTTGATGACTAAAAACCTTAGGTTCCATAGGCCCTTTTCACTTGATGCATACGTTTTTAAGTAGTTTAGTTGGACTGGAACAATTCAGACTGTGTAGTAATCTAGAGGATTGATTTGGGTTTTTAAAAAAAAAAAATTCCACACTTTTTTCCAGTATTGGACACACAGTTGTGTTGGCATAATTTAAGGAAGGAGGGGATTGTCTGTGAAACATTTGATTCTTCTGACAACGCTAACAAGGCCTTTCTGAAGTGCATTAGTCAACTTAGTACATTAGAATGTTTCAGAACCATGGTATAATATTATAGCTAAACTTATTTTTATTTTTGAGAAAATTACTCATGGAAAAGCTTTTTGCTGACTTATAACATCTCTTCTAGATGAAGAGGGAAATCAAGATGAATCACTGGAGTCAAAGGTGAGGAAATAAGTTTCTAGTCATTCTGTTTTTCTTGTGGAGTGAGAGCACAGGTCTGAAATTCAGAACTATGATTTGATTCCTGTTTTAAACTGTTCTGTAGCTCTTGCTGTCTCATTAATTTCTCCTGTGCATCAGAAGAATTAATGTTGTGTTATATCTTTGAAAAAAATTTTTTTTTCAAAGAACTGAAAGTGATAGAGTCAATGAGAGCTAATAGAGGTAGCTCATCTTACTTTTGATGCTGCTGTTTAAACTTAGTATGTTAATTAATCATATCTTTAAAAAGTAATGTTTTTTTTGCCAGCTGCTGCTGTTCAGTTTCTAATCTTCTATATTATGTGGCTGCTTTCCTTCAGAGTTTATCTGCAGACGACCAGGTAAAGGACCATTCCACAGGAACTCGAGTGGTAGCAGGTCAGATCTTCCTTGAATCAGGGAAATCGGACTCTCAATCAGAGGATGAAGAGAACTTTCACAGTCAAGAGGAGGAAAAAGGGAATTCACTGGAAGAGTTGAACTCTCTAGAGTCAAACCTATTAAATAAGGATTTGGAAGAAACAGAAATACAGAGTCCAGGTAACTGCTCACAGACTTTTGAACAAGTGGCAAGAAAGATGCATCTGAGTAACTTTGGCTTGTGGATGAACACAAATAGTAATTCTAAGCATATGAAATAACTAGTGTCTTAACCTTTCTCAAATGGAATGGTAATTGCTGCTTTTTCCTTTAGAAAGTAACATCAAAAAGTTTTCAAATAGATTGTGATTGAAATCTGAGTGGTTATTTTTAGATGCATTTTAAATGGTTTTCCATAATTTTTGTTGTTCCCATCTTCTTGGAAAGCTTTAACTATCAAATGGAGAAAGCCCCAATTTCTTCAAATAGGACTCAAGTGCACATACTATGCTGTGTGTATGTATACCAACCATAGAAGGAGAAACTGCATCAGTGTTTCAGCCTGCTGGCTGTTTGCCTGGAGAGTCAGTTGACAGAGAAGGAACAAATTGTGATGCAAAGACAAGCTTCCTAGGGCGGCATTGAGAGCTTTAGGGCAACATCTAAATTGCATGTAAACTTCAGTAAGTTTTTAAATATAGGTAAAACCTTATGTCCTTCTGCCTAAATTCCCAGGAAATTCTAGTATTCTTTCTAGTATTTCTTTTTTACTACTAATAAAAATGTAAATTTAATATGATTTTTTGACTTGCAGCTAGTAGTGGATGATAACTAGATGGCACAGTTGAGTACCTTAGCCTATGCAGCAAAGACTTTTCCTTTTCACTTACGCATGAAAAGTAAATCTTCAACTTTACTGAAAAAATACAGTTACATGGTAATATTAGTATTTGTCTATCTTTTCAACTCAGATTTGAATGTCAAAAGAAAGCAGGAGTTATGAAATGAGCTCCATTATATACTAACTTTCAGTGTTTTCTAATAAGCCTTCCTTATTAATGCAGAACTAATATGCAGTTTGTAAAAACTCAGTAGTAGGATTAAGTATTGCTGTTGATAAGTGTGGTGTTGTAAAAGAAAAAGGTATATAAAATCCACTAAATAGAATGCTGCCACGAAACAGTGAGCTAAGCACCATTTTTAGTCAGTGCAGTCTATTTCAAAAGTAAACTTTAAGATACTTTTAATGTCACATCAGAAAGGGGTAACCAGATGGCTTGCTCCCTGGCAACTAAGGTTTTTAACTATACTTGTCAAAGTACTGCAAGTGACTTTCAAAAACCATAAATTTAAGTCTTGTGCAGTTTTTGGACCCTCTTATGAAGTAAATAAGCTATGGGGATGAAAGGATTACTGGTTTTATCTAAAAAGCAATTCTGAAGGAAAAGTACTTGTATTCTGGCAGGGAAAAAAGCTGCTAAAGGACAGCTTTACTGGCAAACTTTTTAACTGAGCAGGACCGGAATCTACCTCAGGTACAGATGCTCATCTCTTGAATGAGCTACTAGTGACAGGACTGCATTAAGAGTGATTAAAGCTTTTCGAAATACAGTTTGGCTCTTGTGTATGATCATGAGATTGCATGGAAAAAAAAATTCTTCAAGTTTACAAGTGTATTTTGCAGAATATTGAGCAGAAAAAAAATTCATCTTCAGTAATTTAGCATTAGTACTACTAAGGCTTTTAACCTTGTAAGAAAGAAGTTATTCTGTTCTCTTCTGATTAGTGAGGAGGTCTTGTGCGTAAAGAAAGTGGTATTTTTTAGTTATTTATCTTGTGTTGTATGTTTTTGTAACAATCAATTTCCATACAAACAGTTTTTGCTGAAAACTGCCTGTGAGTTTATACAGAGCTGGCAATCCCTGCTGTGTTTGTTTTCCTATTTGGAGGAATCTTACAGTAATGTAACCAATAATTATAAGTAATGTATGTTTGGGTTTCCTGCAGTGTAAAGTATGAGATAAGATACAAGTAAGTAAGGACAAGATATAATGATAAAATACCATATACTTTATTCAGACATAATAAAGCAGCTAAATTGCTACTTGCACACTCAGTTTGACAAAAAGTAATTTATCCTCTGAGTAAATCATTTGCCTCAGTTTGTATCTATCATTCTTTAAGTACATGATAAAGTAGCTGTGGTGAGCATTTTATCCTGTGATCACATTGCTGTGTTGCTTTAGGGGTTATTATTTGTTACTGTCTGGGGGGAAAATCAGCATTATGGTTTAATTTAGAATTAAAAAAGGGCAAGGAGGAGGACTGGGGCAGAGTAATTTCATAACTTTAGTGTGCAGCTAACTTTCATGCAGAGCACTGTGTAAATGCTTCATGTCCAGTTGGTTTCAGTACAGGAGACAAGGTACTAAACAATACAAGTAAAACTTCAAGTTCTCAAGTAGTGTTAATATCCTGGACCTGGAGTTTGTTCAAATGACAGTGATAAGAGGTCCCGTCAGTTGTTATAGGTACCCTTAGGCTGAGTTTGTGCATTACTCTGTGGTTAACAGATGTCTAAAATGATTCCAGGCTAGTTGCATCTGTACACGTTATTTTTGAATGCAATTTCTGAAAATAACACTTTTCCTTGTGTGTTATGGGATAATTAACTTGGAGTGGTGTGGTGGAACATTTGCCGAGGAATCAAATTACAAAGAACAATTTGAACAGGCTAACTATCCTGGAGACTTCCTTATGCTTCAGAAAATCAACATGAAATTTTTAAATTAGTATGGTCTCTAGACCTTACAATTATATATGCTAGAAAAAAGAACTAGCTTTCTGTATAACCATAAGAATTACAAACTTAACTTGAAAAAACACTGTATAATTGACATTCTCAATTGCATGACTTTGCAAATGTCTTCAAATGAAGCTGAACCCAACTGCTGGATTTAGCTTAGTGAAAGAGAAAAACCTTTATAAAAGGCTAATTGAAATAATTTCATTTTCAAAAAATTAAGATAATTCTTAGTCTTCATAGATTGATTTTTATTTAAAAATATTACAATATTGTAATCTGTAACCTTTGAAGTTCTAGCGCATGAGAAATGATAAATCATGCTGTTCAAAGTAATTTTGAATGCAACTTAAATATATTGGTGAAGTTTTCAATATAAGTATATGCAATGATAAGAAATTACTGGACTCGTAGTGATTTCATTTAAGTCTTTTCTTATAGTTGTATGCTCTAACTGTACTCCCTGCTGATATTCAAGTACTTTCAGTGTCACATTTGGCGATGTGAGTAGTTCTGTCATGATTATGTCTAACCCTGAGGCTAAAATGAATATATGCACTGGAATGTACTTCAAGGGTAGTCTTTTGCATGGAGAAGGGAGTGCAGAGAAGAGAGAGTGAAAGGAAGGGCTGTTTATTTTGGTAGACAATAAAAATGTAACTGAGATTTGCCTCCTCCGAACTAAACAAAAATCTTTGCTTATAACTAAGGAATATAAAAAACCATATACCTTCTGTTTCATTTCCAAATTAAAGATAATACTTTTTCAAGTGCTATTTATAAAAATAATTGCTTTTTCAGGCTTTTGTAAATTAGAAATTTTACTGAAAACTTGATTAAATGAACTTCATAGAAATTAAAACCAACATAGGAGTGCTTTCCTATATGTAGTAGATGACTTTAATTTGTGAAGTAAAGGAAAGCAGTCTAATTCCTGGGTATATATTTTCAGTTTTGACAGCTATTGGAGGCACCGCAGATGGTGAACCTTGCCACTTCCCCTTTTTGTTTATGGAGAAAGAGTATGCAGAGTGCACTGCAGATGGGAGGGAAGATGGCAGGCTTTGGTGTGCAACAACCTATGATTACAAGAAAGATCAAAAGTGGGGCTTCTGTGAAAGTAAGTAACCTGATGTCATGTTCTTGTCCAGGGAATGCTTTCTTAAGCTAGTGTTTTCAGTCTTCTCAATGCCCTTTATTTCAGGGTCTAGAAGTCCCTGTCATATATTAATGGTAACTTTATACTGTGATATACAAGTAATTATAAGGGCAAAGTTCTCATGATGGAAAAGATTATAATGCAAATGCCACTTCCCAAAGCTATTTGGGAAATCATGCAGTGGAGGCATCTTGTTGTGGTTTAACCCCAGCCGGCACCTAAGCACCACACAGCCGCTCACTCACTCCCCCGCCGGTAGGATGGAGGAGAGAATCAGAAGAGTAAAAGAGAGAAAACTCATGGGTTGAGATAAGAACAGTTTAATAGGTAAAGCAAAAGCCACGCGTGCAAGCAAAGCAAAGCAAGGAATTCATTCACTACTTCCCATGGGCAGGGAGGTGTTCAGCCATCCTCAGGAAAGCAGGATTCCATCAAGCCTAACGGTTACTTGGGAAGACAAATGCCATCACTTCGAACGTCCTCCCCCTTCCTTCTTCCCCCGGCTTTATCTGCTGAGCATGACATCATATGGTATGGGATATCCCTTTGGCCAGTCTGGGTCAGCTGTCCTGGCTGTGCTCCCTCCCAGCTTCTTATGCACCTGGCAGAGCATGGGAAGCTGAAAAGTCCTTGACCAGTGTAAACTCTACTCAGCAAGAACGAAAACATCAGTGTGTTATCAACATTATTCTCATCCTAAATCCAAAACACAGCACTATACCAGCTACTAAGAAGAAAATTAACTATCCCAACTGAAACCAGGACACATCTATAAAACTCTTAGTTTCTGAGGCTGTAGGAGTATAGGGGTTTGACAGTGTTTCCCATTATACTCGCTGATTTGTTGCACAAAGGCAAGCCTTCTCTAGGAAGCGTCCTCCTGAAGGAGGAACCTTCCTTCCTTGCACAGCTTGCTTTGGAGCAATGAAAAGAATATTTTAACAGCAAACTTGTACATGAGAGACATCACATGAGAAGAAACTGTCTACCAAGATATCCAACGCCTCCTTTAGACAGCTTTTTGTAATCATTTGGGTGGTTTATTGGTCTTCAAAAACATATTTCTGGCTGTATTTTCCCTTTAGAACCAATACGAATTTTGAGAGAATAGTCTTGAGCTGTGTAATTGGAGTCCTTAATGTACTCTTCTTTTTCTTTTTTTTTTTTTTTTTAGCTGAAGAGCAGTCTAATAAGAGAAGGCAGATGCAAGAAGCTGAGGATGTTTATCAGACTGGAATGAAAATCCTTAATGAAAGCAGTAAAAAGGCTCAGAAGAAAGAGTAAGTCTACCTCCTCCACCCCCACAAGAGAAGGATGGCATGACTGCTCACTCTGGCTTAACTGAAAAATAACTTCAGTTGCCCTGGGAGTTTGCACTTTATTGGACTTAGCATCAAACTATGCAGTGATAGTACTGAAAATAAATAGTAATTTCAGGGTATTTAGAAAAACAAATTTATGCCTGCTTTCCTCTGAATCCACTAAAAATTGTATAAGATTAATTTCTGAAGAGTGGATGTTGTCAAAACTTTGACTTAAAGCAAGATGGTGCCGCAGTTCTCTAGCTACAATTTATATGTGGCAACTGCCCAGAAAAATATGAGAATGTGATACAAGGTAATTTTCCTTTTTCAAATGTTTCTTACAGGCTGGTTCTCATTATACTTCAAAGATTAAGTGGGAAAAATCAGCATTTCTTGTCCTGCTCTGTTATTGTTCCTGCTTTCTGATGTTTTTGGTCACCACGAAAATAGTATTAAACTTAATCTCAATAAATTGTTAAAACTCTAGTAATTAACACTGTATGAGAGAAAAGGGTAATGCTTGTAGATGAAACAAAAAAGAAGAATGAAATGAGTGTTCTGTTCATTCTGGTCTGTTTACTTTCTACTCTTTATATATCCAATTACTGATGAAATAGTTGTCAGCTTACCACTATAATTAAGAATAGGTATGCTAATTTAGAACTCCCTGGTACTCATGTTGACAACTTCATCAGTAAGTGGTGACTTCAGGCTGCTGATTATTGGGAGCACTATTACCATGTTAAACTTAAGAAGGAAATAAGGGAGCTTATTTCTACTTTATGTATCAGGGAAACTGAAGCACAGCTAGAGGTTGTCCATCACACCTTGGCAAAGACAAAGGGAGACAGTATCTGTTAGACCATGACTAGTGTTCTTTTTGTATAAAATAGTGTAGGAATTGTAAAACAATATTAGATTTTTCGTTCTCTTGAACACCTTACACTGTCTTAGAAGATGAAATTATGTGAGGAACCAAGTGTGCCTCAGCCTGTCCTAAAGAAAGGAAACGAGTCTGAGAATAGGAAGGAGGAGAGGTAACGAAAAATCTTGGAATGCTATCAAAGGTCCATGAGAAATCAAGCTGAAGCATGCTTGACAGTACTGTGTTATGTCGTTTAAGGTTACAGTTTTTTAAATTGCTGTGAAATTACTTTGGAGGACTACTGTAAGTTCTGAGGCTGAAATAGAAAGGGGAGTTTCCAGAGAAGCATCTCGTTGCTAGCGTGACTGTTTCATCACAAAATTGATCGTGTATGCCGTTGTATTGGACCCAACACTTTAGTGTTTTCGTTGGAATGATTTTGTACTCAACAAATCAAAGAGACTCTGTAGTCTTTTTCGGGCTGCTTTTTTCTATCGATCTGTGAAGCTGTCAGAGTAGTGGTCCTGCTAGATACCTAGTACAGGACTTAAAATCGTTGCTATAAAAATGTGATCATTTGACCTTAAACTTTTCATATATCTTACAGGGGAGGAAATGCATACTGCTTTGCATATGGAGTAGAGTGAACGTTAAAATCCAGTTTGTCTATTAGCTAAATCGTGTGAGTTGTTGCATAGATTGAGGATTCGGAGCTGGAACAAATGACTGTAGGTAGATGCATTTGTAGAAAATAGAGGCTAAAACCGAGGAACAAAAAACCTCTCCAGAATCTTGAGCTTTATGAATGGAATCTGCTCCTTTGCCTCAAGGTGATTAAGAAATTGTTTTCTTTTAAGAGCGTATCAATATCTTCTGAAAGCAGCTGACATGAATCATACCAAGGCAATGGAGAAAGTGTCTTATGCTTTGCTGTTTGGGGATTACCTGAAGCAGAACATCCAATCATCGAAAGAACTATTTGAAAAACTAACAGAAGAAGGTTCTCCTAAAGGACAAATGGTGTGTATGTTCTTAAATTCTACAGAAGTTTTTATAGGTTTATAAACTGGTTTATAGTTCGTACTTATTCTAAGGTGGTTTTATAGATTGTTCTTGCATCCAGACTAGAATGAGAATGGGAAGTGGCATCTGTTGCCTGGTTAAAAAAGACAGCAGACAGAGTGCTGCTTTTTTAAACTGTTTGAAAACTTGATGTAAAATGTTTGGTTCAGGCTCTGATGCAAAAAAATATATTTTATCAATGCTTGCTTCAGCCTTTCCTAATCCTGACTACTCATTGCCCTTACCTTTTTAAATTTCAGTAGTGTCTTACTTTGGTTCAAAGACTGTCCCCAAAATGCTTCTGCTTCACCTGGCTTCTGCATGCTGCTAGCATTACTGAGGGTGCAGTAACAAAAGCCACCTGCACCCTCAAGGTAAACACATGGAAACAGGTCTTCTCTTTGAGTTTAAAAAAAAAGGCATTAAACTACCAGTAATATAGTATGGTGGTGGTCTTTTAATTTAATTTCTTATCTGCTGTATGACTGACTAGATTGGATCTATAAGTTAAAAAACGGGTAGATGGAGGTGACTCCAGTCAACAAATCTTCTCTGAAACTCTGTGTTACTTTTTTCTTGTGGTTTGTGTGGGATGTTGTGGCTTTTCATCTGCAGTTTTATCTTTGAGATAGGTAGATATACACACACACAAGTTTATAATCTAGAAGTTATAAACTCCTAGGAATCATGAAAGCTGTTTAGTGGAACGGGACTCACTTTCTTCATGTGCCTTTGAACATTATAGAATTGTTCATGTGTAATTGTTCACATGTAACATCATAAAATGTGGGTGTTATCAATTTTAATGTCTCAATAGCTGCATATACTTATTATTTAGTTCTCTTTCTTGTTTCGGAAGTGTCAGCTTCTTCAGGAATTTAGCTCTTTGGCTGCCAAGTCTCCTGCTGTTCCCTGTTTAATGTTGAAGTGGTGATTTACCATAGAAAGCAGGAACATGTTTTCTCTAGAGGCTTTGTATCTCAATGAAGACCTTGACTTTTATTGGTCTAGAATTCAATATTGTCTGCATGAGGTGATTTTCTTTTGTGTGTGTGTGCTTCCAGAATTGCCTATAATAGTCTTAGAACACTGTGAAATGTAGACATCTTTATATAGTGTTACCTTCTGTGCTACTGGTTTCTCCTTGGAGCCACACAGCTGTAACAGGTGTTATAGATAGAGCAGTAATTATGTAAATTTTAAGAATAAAAATAACTTTTGAGAAAACCTCTGCCAAATAGCTCTGTGCATTCTAACTGCTTATATTTATAGTCATAAATGCAACTAACCCATGCCAAAACAGATGCAAAATAGTAAATTCATAGGATGTGTTAGTAAATCAAACAGTAAGACTCTTTTAGAGAAGGTCATGGTTCATGAATGTTTGCATTGGTGTATAAGACAAATAGGATACATGAATAATCTGACAGAAATTGCTGATCTTCACTTGAGGATCTTTAAACTGGGTTACTCTTACTGTTCAGGACCTTTGGATCTACATTTAGCATTCGGGGAAGTAGTAGTTTCTTCCTTGTGTTCGAACCACTGGACTGAATTCTGGTGAGATATGTTTATGTTAGTGTCCTAGGCAACTGAATAATTCAGAAACTTCATACTTTTTAAAAGGGGTAGCGAAGAGCCTAGATATAGGAGGAACCAAAGTGCAGGTAAAGCTTGGCATATTCGTTGCAGCTTCGAATTGTTATTTGATTTCTTTATACTTATGTATTCCAGGAAAACTGATCCTGGTTTGTTTTTTTTTTTTTTTCAAAGGATGTGCTGACAAACTTTATTTTATTTCTAGGCTCTTGGATTTCTATATGCATCTGGTCTAGGCGTCAATTCTAGTCAAGCCAAGGTAACTTAGAAATCTTCAGTGTGTGCTCCTGTATTTTATCTTGGAAGCAGATGTTAAATAACCAATGATTTTGTTTTAAGGCCCTGGTGTATTACACTTTTGGAGCTTTAGGAGGAAATCTGATTGCCCATATGATCTTGGTAAGTAAGATAGTTAATAACTTTACACGTGCAAGAACTTCTTTGTATTCTTAAATTTTTAATATAAGATTTGCATTCATGTGAATACCTTGTCCAAATACTAGATCATCATGCATGCATTAAGTGGGCAATAGTATCTTCCCCGTTATTCCTTGTTAAGGAAAAGTCGGCTCATTTTTAGCTGTATACCACAATGAATTTAGATGGACCTTGTTTGCATCTCTTGGCTTAAAGCAGAAGTGTGAGACTTAATTTTTATAGGCTAATGAGAACTGTGAAAGACAGAGATCTTTACAGAAGATGCTGTTTTAATCAATATTGTGAGATATAAGACAAAGTGCAATGCGTGTAAGTAAAAGGCCTTAGTTTTTCACCCATAAGTATCATTCTGCTTATTTGCTTTTTCCTGAGTAATATCTGAAGTATATTGGCAATGCTTAACTTTTAATGGTGTCAGTCAGTTGCTTTTAATGCAGACACAATGGACTTGTGGCCTTTGTTTTGTCTATTGTCTCATCAAATCTTGCTCAAGTAATGTGGAAAATGTTTGTAACCTGGCAAGTGGTATGTTGTCAAATAACCGATAGTCCCATATTTTTATATTTTCCTTTCTAGGGTTACCGGTACTGGGCTGGGATAGGAGTCCTTCAAAGTTGTGAATCTGCTCTCACTCACTACCGGCTTGTAGCTAATCATGGTAAAAACTTTTTACTAGGCTGACATTCTTGACTTTCTATGTATTTCTGTATCATACACCTAGAAGATACTAGAAGTACTATCAATGCTAATAGTATAAAAATAGAGAATCCCTGCTATTAAACAAGTTATCTGTTTGGCTCTGAATCATGATACACTGTTTTTATCTCTGTCTATTGAAATATCTTTAATTCTTAGAGAGTGTCAAAGTAATTAATTCTATCTGAATAACAGTTTGAAGCTCTGTAGAGATCTGTTTTTACTAAGTTGCAGTGTAATATTTTTATTGAACAAAACTGGCTGAAAATTTATCTTATCTGTTTTTTAGTTGCTAGTGACATTTCTTTGACTGGTGGCACAGTGGTTCAGCGAATTCGCTTAGCAGATGAAGTAGAAAATCCAGGAATGGCAAGTGGGATGCTAGAAGAAGACTTGATTCAGTATTATCAGTTTTTAGCAGAGAAAGGAGATGTACAAGCACAGGTAAGATTAAGTTCACCTGATGGCATACAGAGGTTTTCAAGAATTACAGGAACAGCTTTATGAAATATGGAAAGACATTGGAGCTTTAGTTTTCTCTTCCTCCTAAATCAACCTGGTTGCTATTTCCTGATTAGTTTTTAGGAGAAGAGGCTTGTATTTTAGTGTGTTTAAGGTAGAACTTGGACAGAAAATGCAAATTTTTGTGGAAAATAAGTCCAAACATTACAACTTTAGTAATTTAGGAAAGAGGATCTTGGCTTTCACTAGAAACCAGACACACTAGTTTAAGGATGGCTTTAGATGTTGTGGAGGAAGCCTTGATCAAAAAAACTGGCCCTGACAGGGGACCTCAATTTCTCGCTGCTTCTGCTCTTACATGACTTCTGCATGCTGCAGGCTGGACCTCTTCTACACACAATGCAGGAGGGGAGGACCCTAATATAGGCAAATTGTCACAACTTGGTCGTATATGGCTTAAGAATTAGGTCGGTAGAATTCAAATGAACAATTATTATTTTGTATCTAGGACAGTCACGTCACTTTTATCTAGGATAAATTTCCACTTAGGCTAATGTGAAAAAATGGGACTGTACTGTAGTAATTGAAGCAAATCTGTGCCTTTAGACTTTGTGGCATCTTTAACGCTGATATGGTCTGTCTTTGTGCATGTAATTAGCTCACTGGTATCTGTATTACTAGAAAAAGAAAGTCCCGATGGAAAAATTACTTATTTGCAATGTAAAATTTATTTTTAGGTTGGCCTCGGACAGTTGCACTTGCATGGAGGAAGAGGAGTAGAGCAAAATCATCAGGTACCCTTTCTGTATATCTCTGATGCGTATTACACTTGGTGGAGGGGGAGAAAGTATAGCTGAGACCACAGTGAAGCAAAAGTGTTTAAGTACTGTCGTAACGTATTTAATGACTTCAGTAGTCTTGTTCAATAAAACTTAATTCATTCAGTAAAACTTAATCTTTATGTGACTAGTACATGGAGCTGTTTTTCTTACACAGTGTTTAAGACTAATCATCTTAGAAATGAGGAAGTCAAAATCAAAGACCAGGTTTTCATCAAGTAGTACTTGAAACTGGTCAAGCTTTTGTACATGTAGTAGAATCTTCAGGAGGCACCGTGCGTGCATTAGCAATGACAGTCTAGTTTGTTTGCAAGAATATTTTGCTTCTGTAGACGAACCAGTGCAACTTTCAATACTAAGGATATTAAGTGTGCATAGAAAATAGAACTTCTGCTAATGTAAGCCAACCTAGCTACTGCTTATAGAAGTTAAAATAGCTAACCTCTTAAAGTATGTATTAAAAAAATGGAGAGCTGAAGATGTGCAGTCCTGCGGATTATTTCAGACTCAGCTACCAACCAGAAATTATTTAATAGTCATCACATTTAAAATACTTTTAAAATGACTGTTCTATAAGGGTTCAGAGATGATATCAAGTATGCAGAATGAGCATAACCAAGCTCTGTGTAAAACTGGAATAGGAACTGGCAGATCTCTCCTTTTCTAAACAGGGTTTGGAAGTACAATAAGGAAGTAAGATTTACCTGTGTAGCTTGTGCATAGTAGCAGTTGTAGTATTTATTTTTTTTTCCTCTGCTTTTTGGAATACACTGTTGAGAGGGATTGCTGCTCAATATTCCAGTTATAAGTGGGGAACCCTGTTACATATCTTAAATTAGGTGGGATTGATAACTCTTATCCCCAGAAGAACCTGGTAACTTGGCAAGCAACCTACTCATCTCTGCTCAATTTGCAAGAAAAGGTACTCAAATCATAGTCATGGTGGCTAAAATTCTTTTTTTCTTCCCTACAGCGAGCATTTGAGTACTTCAATCAAGCAGCTAATGCTGGCAATTCACATGCCATGGCCTTTCTAGGAAAGGTAAGATATGAACACTCTCAAAAGTAAGCAAATGGACTGCCTTTCAGTGAAAAATAACAAATATTTCCTACTTTCTGATATCAGGCAGTCTAAAACTTGAATGCTGGAATCTAAGTACTTCTGTTTTGCTGCTGTTTTTAATTGTCCTGCAAGATTTGAGTGTCATAGTCTATTATGTCTAGTCTAAATTCTCTACTTGTTCCTTCACTTCAGGAACTTTTGTTTTTTCTAAATAGTGCTTGAACTAGATTTTTTTTTTTTTTTAATTAAATACCTAAATGTCCTTTTTCTGGGTTGGAGTTCAAAACTTGGAGTAGGCCACTATGCTCTTCCATACAGTGTGTGGGGAAAAGCTAGGCTTCTCAACATTTTGCCTAGCGGGAAATGTTAAGTTTAGGAGGGAAAGGGGAAAGACATCTATATTCTTATTCTGTGTACAGAACTGAGGCATCTGAGTCAGAGTTACCAATAGCTCTGCATCTACTTTGAAGCAAAGCCTGAGTCTGTCTGCAAGGTGGGCCATTGTATCAGTTTTCTGAGATTTAAGTCCTTCTTTTAATCTAAACCATGATTGACAAGCTGCTATTGGTGATGTTAATGTGTTGCTGCTTAGAAAGGTATTTAGGTCACTTGCCTGAGATCTGGGTTGTAGGCTACCTTTGCCCTGTGAGGAGCTAAATCCTTATTATTCCATTTGAGTGCCCTCTAAGGTTAGGCTGCAATAAGCAGCAGCTCTAGCTCTTCTTTTTCAGGCTGTCACTGCAGTAGAGGATGCAAAATTCATGTCCTTAGAGCATGAAAAAATAGCATAATGTGCTGGTCAAGGCACCTGACAGGAGAAATCGCAAGTTCCTGCTTTCTCTACTGCTTGAGCGTTTTGTATCTTGTATCTAACAAATGCTGAAATGACCAGGGTTTAGTAACCAATTTTTGCTTTGCTTTCAAGAAGTATTTTAACTGCCAATATAGTTTGACTTCCGCTGGTCTCACAAGATTTTTGCCTGCTTATGTGTTCTTCACTACACACTGATAGAACTCAAGGGTATTTTCATGAAAACTTTTCAATTTTATGGGCAGTTCATTCCCCATTAGAAAGTTAAACCATCTGAATTTTACAGCAGACACACATGTTTTCTGCTTCTGGGCAAGTTCTTTAATGATTATTCAGTAATGCAGTAGTCAGAATAGTCTAATAGTACAATAGACTCCCTTTCATATGCAAAGTGAAGACGCTTCATGATCTCCATGCTAAATTGACTTCTTCAGCTGTTCTTCAATAATGCCTTTCTCCTTCAGATGTACTCAGAAGGAAGTGATGTTGTACCTCAGAGCAATGAAACAGCTCTTCAATATTTCAAGAAAGCTGCTGATATGGTATGATTATCTGTAAGCTAGAAATACAGCATATGCACTAAAAAGTTGATTAACTCGGAAATGCTGCAAATGCTTCTTTTTGTGCACCTCCATGTGCATACACCTACTCCCAACTTCTATCCCAGATTAGCCCATAATTAAACTCTGCTTGTCTAAGATGTCAGAAACTGCCTCCAGTTCTGGTCATGGTGCTTCACGAAGCTGTGTTCAGCACAAGGAGCCTAACTCTCATGAATACTGGCAGCAGTATGAAATACTGTCCACCTAAATAGCCTGCAATTCTGTTAAGTGTTAATTTTCATTAATCTGAAGTTGTCTTGTCACAGAAATTTACAGTGCACTGATACTATGTTATTTTTGGTTCTGTTTTGTGATCAGTGAATAGATAATGTGTTTGGTTTTATACTCTCATCTCATTGGAGTGTTTGTTTTTGGCTGTTAATCCCTCGTATCTGTCTTTGACCTATCCCTTATGGTAGCATTTGTACAGTTAAAGCATGAGTAGTCCTCCAGGAGAGATGTTTAGCATGTGAAACACAGTAGATCAAGTTTTGAAAGGACTGATGTAAGATAACTGTCTTCACGGTTCTTGCATTCCACAATTAGATTGCTGTTCTACACCTCTGTCCCAGAGTAAGGATCTCTCAATTTACTAATTTCCTACATTAACTGAAGGTTTCTGATATGCCTCATTGCCGGTCCTGGCAAGGAATACCATAGTGCATACTTTTGCAGGGGCAGTGGTCAGTAATGCAGCCCACAGGACAGCCACTAATCTGCCCTTAAATGAAGACAGATTCTCAGAGTTCCTGTAGTTGTTTTGGGAGCTTCTGTAGCATCCAGAACATCTCAAACTTGGAAAAACTAAAGATGAATAAGCTATTAATGCCCACCTTTCTATGGGTGTGGGTTCTACATCTTGTACGACATTTTGAAAGTGCACAGTAGACTTCCATAACTAGTGTTGAAAGGTTTTCATTTTCCTGTTAATCACCTGTGTAGTTACTGAATAAAAGTTACCAAAGATGCTATTTTCTCCCTAAATAACTATTACTTACTAGGAGCAAAGTTACAAAGCAAATCTATCTTAAGCACTGTTTGTTTTAGTGATGTTAAAGACAAACCAAATTTGAAAGATGCAGCTGTAGGTTTTGCCTTTCTTTGCAGAAGTGTTTTGCTGTGTTTTCAGGGTAATCCAGTTGGACAGAGTGGATTAGGAATGGCTTACCTCTACGGAAGAGGTGTTCCAGTGGTAAGCTTTTGACAGTCGTCTTTCTCATCATAGGTGATTGTGTAACTTCTTGTTGTCAACAAACTTTTTCTCTGAAGGGAAGTACTGTAGAAGACTTAATTGTGAGGATTTCTGTTACACTGAAAACTCCATGAGGAAATCTGTAATATAAAAAAAAAAAAAAATTTCACTATGGAGTTAGCAATTATGAAACATGCTGAGTACCCTCTAATAAGTTTGAAAATGTTGCTGAAGCTTCTAGAAATGCATAGCAGTGTGAATTTTTGGTAGGAGTTTTGAACTTGGCTCTCATTTTCTTGTGAAATAAATCCTAACTGTCCCCATTTTGTGTATCTTGTGAGAGTAGAGGAACACTTTGAAGCTTTAATTAGTTAATTTGCCTTGTTGCTTTTCCCACAAGAAGGTTTCTTTTCAAATGTTTTATATTTAGCTATGCAGACAGATATTCAAAAGTTGAATTAGCCCAAAGTTGAGGAAGTAAGTTAAATAATTGTTCTAGAAACAGAACAGGGCATCCATTCTGTTAAGCATAACTATTCATAGCAATGCTGTATATGGATGCCAGCTTTGAGATGGCTACAGACTTAAGACATGCTAGTATCATTGTAGGCTATTTCATTTTTTTGTTTCCAAATTTTCAGAAGGTGAATATTTTTGCAGTAGAACATCTTGCTGTAATTTTTCTGTAATATAGATCTGTCCATGCACTTACACATGCATGCATGCATGCATGTTTTCTTTCTTTACTTAAATTGTGGTGTATTGCAATGGTCTAATGACTGGACCAAATCTTCCTGCAGAACTATGAGCTAGCACTGAAGTATTTCCAGAAGGCTGCAGAACAGGGATGGGTTGATGGACAGCTTCAACTAGGCTCCATGTATTACAGTAAGTGGCATCAAAATGATGATTTGCCGGGTCTCAGTATCTGCCCTTTCAGTAACTGTTCACTAGGTGGCATTAGAAGTGTAGATGTACATTAGAAGTGTAGAGTAGTTGTACTGAATTGAATTTATATTTTATTCTGTTTTTTCCTAACACTTTCATAACATTTTTCTTTAATAATTTTAAAGAGTAAGAACCTACTGTATTTCATACAACTCTGCTTTTCAAGAGGAATGAATAGCAGCGACTTATTCTTTCTTTTAGATGGCATTGGAGTCAAGAGAGACTATAAACAAGCTTTGAAATATTTTAACTTGGCCTCCCAGGGTGGCCACATTCTGGCTTTTTATAATCTGGCTCAGATGCATGCTACTGGCACTGGAGTGATGCGATCCTGTCATACTGCTGTTGAGGTAAGGTCATACATTTATAAAAGTCAAGTAATACTGACTTGCAAAATGTTGGATATAACCACGTCAGCTTATATAGGAAATTTGTCTTAGCTAAAATCCACTGGTGACTGCAGAGCCAAGGCTATCAAAAGGAAAAGTGATATATTATCAAACTCCTTTATATCTCATGGGAAAAATCTTTATTTTTTATGTTGATATGGCAAGTTTGTATTTGCTTTATAAACTTTGAAGAAAATCAAAAGAATGTAATACAAAGCAAACATCGGTATAAGTACTGAATTCTTCATTAGACGTGGGTTTAAGTGTAACAAAAAAGCTGATCTTAAGAATAATTCTGAGTAAGCATCTGAATCTTGGCATGTATTTGCTTAGTAACCTGTATCTTAAGGTAAGCTTGTCTTAAGCAGTGAGTTTGTCTGTCAAGTTTTTTCCTGTGGAATGTAAATATTTTGAACAGGCATTTGAATGTTAGAAGTTTACCTCTTGCAAAACCTAAATTTCTGAATTTCTTGACAACCGGTCTTCTTTTCCCCCCCCCCCCCCTTTTTTTTTTCCCTCTGCAGTTGTTTAAGAACGTATGTGAACGGGGGCGTTGGTCTGAAAGACTGATGACTGCCTACAACAGCTATAAAGATGGTGATTCAAATTCTGCTGTGGTTCAATATCTTCTTCTGGCAGAACAAGGCTACGAAGTTGCACAAAGCAATGCTGCTTTCATACTTGATCAGAGTAAGGACCTGAATTTCTACTGAAAGTTTTGTTTTGGTTTTGTTTTGTTTTTCTTCTCAGGTGGCCTTCAGTTGGCATTTAGTAGAACGCTAGAGTGCTTGAAGATGTAATTACATAGCTCTTGTTCAGTTAGAAATTCAGTGAGACTCTTGTCCTCTTTCCTGCTTTTCATACTGGAAAGAAGTCAGTTCTAATTCTCACCTCTAAGGATAGCTTTCTGGCCTAAAAGTTAGAATACACTTAAGTTCTGACTTACGGGATTTAAAAAACGGGATAGGGAGAGGATGCTTTAGAAACTTGCACTGTCCTGAAAATTTTCCTGCCTGGACTTCCTAAACACAACCTTAACACTTTATTTTTAAATCTATAAAGTAGGAAATGCCTACTAGTTTTACCTTTGGCCTTTACTATGCATACAAGCTTCAGTTTCCTTTGTTCTTTATCTTGTAATGTCTTTTCTCAGCACTTTTTTTTTTTTCCCAGATTTTTTTGTGACTTTACTTGTAGTATTCTTGAAGCAGGGATGAAAAGCTGGGCAGTTGGTTCTGTTAGACTTGAAAAAACTTGTCCCAGGTCTTTTATTGCAACTAGGTGGCTAGAACTTGGATTTCTTAGAGTTTGAGGTCATAGGGACACAATGGAAGTAAAAGTGACAAATCTTTCTAGAAACTACAAAACTCAGTATTTTAAACTTTCTGGATCTCAAATCCAGAAATCTAGGTGTCTCATTACCAGCTTTAGGGCTTTGTATCTTAATACGAAAATCAGCTATTGGTGGCTGTTAGGCTAGTCTAGCATCTTAATTTCCAGTTAATGTTTTTCAAAGGTGCCTTAGCGACTCATCTTTAGGTAAGCGACAGCAATGGCAGTCTTGGCTGGGAGTGCATTCTTGCAAAGGAGTCTTTCCCTGGGCTAAAATTCTGATTGTCATTACTCAGATATATCTGCATCTCGACTGGAGATGAATTTAAAATTATTTTATGCGCTTTATACAGAAAATCTGTATGTCAACTGTGAGATAGCATAGCTGAAACCATACTTACACTAGAAGTGAAAAAAATTATAAATGCTTTGAACTCTCTGAACTTTGATACTTCAGCAGCCTTCAATTTGACATGGACAAGTAAAATAACTTCTCAAGTATATGTAGCACTGCTGTGTATAATACGTAGCCTCTAGCTGCTTAAGGAGTTTAAGCCTTCGTTTTACTTGACTAGTCTTGGTTTTTAGATGGTCAAACTAAAATAGCTTATGCTTTAGCCTTGTATTTGAATGCACCTTTGAGAGAGCCAAAATTGTGTGCATGAAGACTTGCATCTTCTGGCAATGGGAGAGACACTTGGCAAGCAATATTTCAGGGTGAAATGATACAGTTTGTTCCTAGCTCTTACGTGGGCAGATATATGAAAGACCATGTAAATGAAAGGGATTTTTTGTAAGTTTCAGATGAGGTACTCTTGTTTGTGCTATAGCACAGATTACTTCAAGTTTTTAATTCATTTCAGCAGACTGAATATAAGCATGGGGTTTTTTTGTGGTCTTGTGTGCATATATCATGCTCCTATTTAACTGAATTACTTTCTTCTCTAGAAGAAGCTAGCATAGTAGGAGAAAATGAAACCTATCCTCGAGCTTTGCTTCACTGGAACAGAGCAGCTTCTCAAGGTATGTCTGTACCTCACAATTCCAATTAGTTTATTTTTGATAGAGCCATTAATGTTTGATTTCATGGTTTTTATGAAACAGGGAAGGAGGGAAAGCTTACCTCCTTCTGTTCAACATTAGTTATATTACACATAGGGTAGTTGCTGTTCTTTGTTTCACTGTTAGCTATAATGTCATTGCAATATGCTTGCAGTTCTGAGCCACTCTGAGATCCTGAAGATTAAAAGGACTAAAACACAAATGTACAGTGTGTTTCTTTTGCCATTCCATGTGGAATTATAGAGCAGTGTTAAACAGCATTAGGAATGTTTACACTGACTTTTCTAAAAATAAATCCACTTGGAAAAATAGATACAAAGTACCCTTTAGGATTTTTGGTGGTTGTCATCATTTATAGGAAATGCAATTTCCTATTCAAAGCAAGCAAAGCTCAGTGATGAAGAATGCAATCTTGATGTCCAACCAACCCAAGTTTAAACTCTGGTTGCTTGTGGTCCTACCCTAAAATAAGCAAAACTAAACTTAATGATTAAATATCTCAGTGTGAGGTCTCTAACTTTCATACAGGTGCATCTACATTAATGTCTGCCTACTAGCTTTTTTACATAAGAGCAAGTGTATCATGCAAATAGAGCCTAAGAGTTTTGTCTAAAAATCTTCAGACCTACTTGGCTTTTAGTAGAAAGTTAGAAATTGAGAGGATGGAATGGTTAAGTATTCAATTACCAAATGATGATGAGAGACTGTTTTTCAAGTTTTCAGTTCCTCTGTGTTAAAAATAAAACTGAAGCCCTTAATGACCATGTAACAAATGAAAAGTTTTTCTGTAATAAGTGACCGTGAACAATATCATATAGCTTTTCAACTGATGCCACTAAATAGCAATAAAAATGTTGGTAGGATTACCGGGAAAAGGACTTTCCTGAAAATAGAAATTGGTTGTGTTTTGGGTAGCTAAACCCAATTTAAAGAAGGAAAAAAAAAAGGCAAGCTGTTTATGTGAGAGAGGGAAAAAGGGAAATAGTTTGTGCAAACTGTGGAAAATAGTACTAAAGCCCTTATTGCATTTTCATATGAAACTAAAAGGCTTTCTTTGCCTATCTGTTTTATCTTTCTTTGTTGTTTCTTGATTTATAGGATATACTGTTGCAAGAATTAAACTTGGAGATTACCATTTTTATGGCTTTGGTACTGATGTTGATTATGAAACTGCATTTATTCACTATCGACTGGCATCAGAGCAACAGCACAGTGCCCAAGCAATGTTTAATCTGGGCTACATGCATGAGAAGGGATTAGGCATCAAGCAGGTGAGTAAGCTGCAGCTGATAGTCTGCTTCATTACAGTGCATTTACTAATATTAGATTAAGTCCATAACCGCTACTGGGCTTTGGGCACTATATAACCACTTACCAGGAATTAGCATGTCTCCCAATACATTCTCCAGTAGGAAATGGGCACGTATATCCATTTCACACTTACCTATGTGAAGAAATGAGGCATAGACAGGGAAAAAACTATTTGCTGAAAATTGTGAAGATTGGCAATAAGAGTGCCATATGCTTGAGTAATGCTTTCAAGACTTTAAAGTGTGATGAAATGAGTGCAAATCAATTCCAGGTTCAGAGTACTTCAGCAGAAGATTGTTCTCATCTCTGAAACACTGGTTAATTTGTTTTCTGTATCACGACATTTTGAAAACAAGTTCTGTGCATCTTCAAGTAACAAACCATAAGCACCAACAATGTGATTATTAGCTAAGGTTTTTCAAATTTGACTAGGCCACAATTTGCTTTACAAACTACATTGCCTAAAAGAAGGCAGTATATCTAGTTCTCTTAGGAAGCCTATGATGTATTGCTGTCCATGAGCTAATGAAAACTTAGGGAATCAGAGCAACATGTTCTTGTATATGTCAAAATAATGTGATTAGTAATTGCATGCTAATTTTGAGCAGCCTACCTTACCTTAATGTATGATTAATTCATGCAGTTAATGTATGAATTTAGTAATATCTTCTGGGTTACCTGAAACTGTAAGAAATGGTTTCATTTTCCTTATTTTCAGTGAGCTTCAGCATTTGGGTTTTGTTTAGGTATGCACCTTTTAATTATTCTGTTGGTCTATTAAAAGACACATTTTTGCTTCTTTTCCCCTAAATTCTTGGCAAAAGGTTAGAACAGTGAAGGGCAAATCTTGGGTCATCTGTTACTTTGGCAGCAGCAAGCAATCAACATTTGAAAACTGCTTACTGACCTAGCTGTAGAAGTGACAATACAGTACACAAACAGCATTATTTCTAAAGCTTATCTTCAAATTTCTCTTTAGAACTGTTTTCTGTTTTTAGCTCAGTCCTCAAAACTAGTTAACTTCTGAAAATGAGCTTGCAGCTAAAAGCAACAGTACTAAAGCTTGGAGGTTTTGTTTGTTTTTGTTTTTGTTTTTTTTTTAAAAAAATCCTTTCAGACATGGACTTTTTTAGTTCTTTTGCTTCTGCCTTGAAAACAACCCAATTTAGAGCAAGTCATAAAAACTTTGAAAATGTTGTTACATCATGTTCAGCATAACTGCTAAGACTTTGAGAAAAATGAGTCCTAATGCTATCACCTGCACAGAGTATTCTCCAACCTGAAGCAGAGGTGGCTACACATAGATAGCTGAAATGAGTACACAAGGGCTCACCATAAGCATACGCAGCCTTGCTTTATGCAGATGAGTAATACTTTCCTCTCATACAGATCCACTATGAAGGGAAGGGCCAGGGAAATGGAGATAGTTAATATAAATACAGGAGGGAAGCACCGACAGCGTCTAAGCAAGGACATTCCGTGTCTTAGGAATTCTGGATATGTAATGTCTTTGCTTGCTGTGTCCTAAAACTTTACAACGGTAAGATGAGAGGATGGAGACTTAGGACTGACTAGATAAGACTAAAATGGTGCTGGGCTAGGATATTCTGAAAAAGACTAAGACTGAGTTTTGAACGAAGCAAAAGAATATCTGGCTTTCCTTTCCCAGAATGGAAACTACTGAATTTTGAGTACCTCTGAAAATGACTGACAGTTAAAATCATGCTTCCTGATGTAGCAGGTGATGTCTACCACTGAAATCTGTTCTTCCACTAGAGGCCCGTGGAAGGGACATATAAAGATTTTTAGCACTGTAGTAGCTAACAAATGGGGGATTTAGTCTGTTGAAGAAAGGGATGTGTACTCTTACTCTCTCCCCACCTATGTCCACGTCGTTAAGACTGCAAGCACTCCAGAGTTAAGGAGAATGATCCAATAAGGTGGCCTGCCCAACTTCAGTTCAGGTCACTGTTTGTTCTGGATAATCCTGAATAAATCCAGTATTTCTTACTGGTTGTTTTTTGTTGGTTTGTTTGGGTTTTTTTGTTGTTGTTTTTTTTTCCCAGACAGCTTTTGCCTTATTCTCTCTTTACTTATTGAATAAATAGTCTTTCTTATATATAGGATTCTGTTCCTCTACATAGATGGTATTCATACCAGGACAATGCCAAATATTAAGCCCCTTCAGAAATCTCACATGTACACTGTTAGACACTTCATAGATTTAATGTTGTCCAATTCCTGAGCCTGCATGTCAGAGTGAAGACTGTTTCCATATACTGCTCAAAATAAGAACGAATTAATTTCCTTGAACTAATTTTCTCATGGTCTTCTCTTAAGATTTGGCATGGTATTTGTGTGTTAAAGCTCAGACTCCTACAGTTATCACTTGTCTGTCAAGTGAGAGCAAAGAATGTATAAGCAGAATGAAGTGCTTGCTAATTAGAAATGAAAATAAGCCATAATTTAGGATCTGCTTCTACACTGATACTAGCACAGTACCAAGGAGGTAAGGAAACACTTTTAAATAGTTACACAAAAGACAGACTTTCCAGGCTCAAGGAGTATTCAGAGTTGTTCTATTGAATTAAAATACTAAAATATGAGCTAGTACATCTCATTCACATAATCCGTTGATTTTCATAGTGTTACTTCCACATGCGTTGTGGAACTAAGCTTTGCTGTATAATTGAGCAGAAAATCTTTATGGTATTTCACAATCAGGATGAAATTATAAAATAAACATGTGGCATGAAGTCATGGAGATTTTTCTTATTTTAAGTGTCCGATTTGGAACACTTATAGAGGTAAGTCTTAGACAGGCCTGCCCTTCACATCACTGAGTGAATATAGGCAGTTTGTATCCAAGTATCCTAACATTGCACAGTATGTATCGGAAGCAGAGCCAAAAAAACCCCAAACAAACAAGGAAAATTAAACTATTCAGGTACATGTATCCTCTGTTCTTCTTGTTACAGTCACCTTCTTGTTCCAGCTACCACAGAAGAGAACAGTAATTTAAGTTCTTCCTAAAGTTCCTGGCTGTTTGTGCTCATGCTTTTGCCAGGCTGCCCTCACTAATGCAAGTTTTGGATAAGGAGTAGAATCTAATTTGGGAGTATGTGCAGAAATGGTTAGAAGCTGCACTATGCAGCAGGCATACTGTAGTATAACTGGGAGGAGTTGCTGCTGTGTACTCCTCTGTGACTTGTGTCGTCTTAGTCTTTCATGTTTGGTGTGGTATTGCAGATGTTAGAGTATACTAGAGTTACCTAAATATGTGCCGTATTTTACAGTGCATGGGTTGAATACGTTAATACTAATCTCTTTGTGAACTTCAATTTTAGTATTGGTTACAATAGTTTCATCCTCAGATTGAAGCTTCCCTTTACTTGTCTATTCAAAGGTGAACATCCATCAGAAAAAAGGGGAAGTCTTACTGAGTGGTTTTTGTTTAACTTGACCAAAACGCTTGTATGCAAATGACAGTATACAATAGCTTTTAGAAAAAGCTCTACATTTTATGGTTAATTTTTCAAGTCCTTCAAAACTGAGCTTTGTATTTTGTGAACTTTAGGATATTCATCTTGCAAAACGATTCTATGACATGGCAGCTGAAGCAAGCCCAGATGCTCAGGTTCCAGTCTTCCTAGCACTTTGCAAGCTTGGAGTGATTTATTCCTTGCAGTATGTACGAGAAATCAATGTAAGTAATGCAGAATTAAAAGGAAAAACAAGAAATGTGTTTTCCATTTTTAAAAGAAGCTTGAGTTGTAATCTTACTTAAGTAGAAGTCTTACTTGAGCCTTCTGAAGACTTAGGATAGGTGTGTGTTGTGTTGTTGCACATTAAGAAAGATACTGAAGCTCTGATTCGTATTTCTTATTTGTGCAGTTGTGTGAAACTGAAATGTACACAGCTAGTGCTCTTCTGTGCTGTTCTTCCCTTGAAGAGAACTTCCCTAACCTGTTTGACTGTTCTTATCCATGCCCATCTGCTATGAAAGTTAAGCAGATGATTTCAATGACATAATCACTGTTCAGGAAAAAAAGAAATACTTTTTTGTAGCCCTAATTCTCATGCTATTTTATATTCAGCTGTAACTTGAGTTGTGTTTGATTTCTATGGGAAAAAAATATTATTTGTATTAGATAATTTAGCTATTGTGCAGAGTTTTTGCTGAGTGATGAAAAAAATATCTGCCTGGAATTTAGGTGAATTCTTTCCATATAGTGTCTGAAATATTTCTCTGTATTCTGACATCTTACTGCCTTTTGAATTACTTAATAAATTCAAATGGTATGGAACTTATTACCACTTAGAGCAAACACAAGTTCAGGTAATCCAGCTAAGTCTGATAAAATTTAATAGTCTTGAGACTGGGGACTTTCAGGAGTGGACAGTCAAAATACTCTAAATCAATTGAGCAAATACCCAAGTAGCACTCACAGAAGCTAGTATGTAGAACACGGATATTCCAAGTTTTAAGTCTGCTGATGCAAATTGGCAATGACTCTGTAGTACCATCAGGTACAGTAGTGAGGCATAAAGTGTGTGTTGGCTAATGCTTATGCGAATGGCAGTCTGATAAAAAGGCAGTCCAATCAAAACTAACAGTAAGTCACTTTAACTTCCCTGTACCTTATCTGCACAAATCTCAGCATTGTACCACATAAGTATCCTGGGTCTTAATGTTCTGTCATTCATGGTAGTCTGCTGATGGCTTCCAGTTTGGCTGGACTGATCAGTTCACTGCCTCTGTGTATGTAGTACTTACTACTCTTTCTTTAAGACAACTAGTATGGTTAGATACTTTTGATTTAAATTGTGTACTTTAATGCTCTGTATGTGAAAGCCACAAAGCCTATGTATCAAGAACCTTCATCTCTAGAACAGAAAATAGAATAGCTCATCCTATACAGCATGGCTCTTAGACTTATTGGATTTAGTTCCTGGAAATTAAGAACATCACTGATGTGATACTATTTTTTCAGAGAGGAAAAGAGCTACTGAAGTTTTAAAACTGGTACTTGTACATGAAAAATGTTACAAGTCAAGTTTAAAATCAAAGTAACTTCCCATTCTTGCTCTTTGATGTGATGATGTGGACTTCTTGTTTCTTAGATAAGGGAGTTATTCTCACATATTGATATGGACCAGCTGCTGGGGCCTGAGTGGGACCTTTACCTTATGACCATCATCGCCTTGCTTCTGGGAACCATTATAGCTTACAGACAAAGGCAACATCAGGCAATTCCCAGACCAGCAGGACTGCGGCCAGCTGTGCCTCAACAAGAACCACCACCAGAGCATCAACCACCACAATAGCAACAAGAGCCTCAGTGAAAGAACTGGATTTTTCCAAAACGAACAATTTTCATTGTGATTTAGGACTTTGGATCAACAGTCCCTCCCCCAAAAGAGGCGCAAAGAAGTTTAAAAAAGTCTGAAAGCTGCTTAGAGTGATGCCTTTTTTCAGGGATAAGAAAATTCTTTTGAAACTGATTTGAATGTTATTTCAGTGCCAATGGAATAACACTATGGCTTTTTTCATGGAAACACAAGAGTGCTACTACAAAAATGTTGCCTGCTGTATCTAGTTCCTCTTTATTCAGAGTCCTTTTCATCTCTTAGAGAGAGCAGAAGGCTAGCATTGGAAGGTTTTTGCCTGCTTGATAGCAGTTGCCCTGTATAAAAGTAATAACAGTAATAGTTTTATGGCCAATTTAAGTCCAAGAAGCTGAACTATATTCAAACTCTAAAAAGACTAGAGCTGTATGAACTTATATTCTGATCTGCATCCCAAGTATTTCTACAATCCTTATTTCGTTACTTCTTAGTATTTCTTACACTTTGGTCTTTTATGCTGTCTTGGATGGTTTAACATGGATTATTTATAAACTCTGTAAAACTAAGCCAGCAAACATGCCACTCTTCATTTGTGCTTTTTTGTTTTAAGTATTTTCCTCCATTCCCGTTAGACTAGATGGTTCTCAGCAGATAGTATGTAGCCCAGGAGGCGGAGTGGGACAGATTGGGTCTGTAAAGCTCATCAGTTGAAAACTATCCACACAGTGCCCAGATCTCGCATCCTTCTAAAACTTTTTCGGAGCCTGTGTGCTTTGCAATAGTTCATGACATAAAAACAAATTGGTAGTGTTCCTAAATTATTTAAACTTGCTCTTAAAAAGAGGCTGAGTCTAGATTGCAGAAAGCACCAGTATTATTGTGGACACTGAAGAAAGGATGGAGCCAGAAATCTCACTGAGTTAGCTTACTTTTTTTGTTTGTTTGCTTTTAGAGGTGGAAGTTCTGTATTTCATTTTCAACAATCCTGTAAGTGATCCGCGCTGCAAGAAGGAAATGTATGTGGTATCTCATGCATGCATCTGTTTAATGCATTTACAAAAAAGGGCCCTAAAGATGCATACTCCCTACAAAAGGGCGTGGACTTACGCCAGTGATGCTACTCCAAAGTTTGTCTGACTGATAAATATTGTATATTAGATTACAGTAGTGCTCTGGCTGTTGCCCGCCTCTCTTGTATGTGGCCTACATGAGAAAGTGAAAATAACGTCTCTGGCTGTGCCATCTTGAGGATCCCTTGTAACAAGAAAATCCAATGAGAAAGAAGACTAATGGTTTACGGCTTCTTGATACCACCAGGTCAGTGCAAAGGCCTTTTAATGAGTGTAAAGAATACGACCTGTGGACTGATGTTTTTAGACTGCAAGAGGAATCTTCACTTAGTAATGATTTTCATTGAACTATAATTTCAGGGATTGGGGGTGGGAAGCAGTGGGGGGAGTAGCTTAGAGGCAAGAAATGCAGAAGTTTCTGTTCTTATTTACCAATGGCAGTTAAATATTTGTTTCTGTACTAGCATTAAACCCTCTGAATATACTGTCTTAAAGCTGAATGAAATACAAATGAGGAGGCTTTATAGCTGCTTTCTGACAAAAGCTGTTGTTTTTAAAGGGTTAAGGGCTTCCTTTCATGCAAATATTTTTCCAGTGGATTGGCAGCAATAGCAATATACTTTATTTAGAATTGAGATTTTGGTATGGTTTCATACTTAGTACATTTGTAAGGAGACAGTTGCACAATAGATCTGTAGTTTGGGAAAGAAGATAAGCAATCCACTCTTTTGTAAACTGAAATGTCATGGATGACTAGTATTAAAATATAGGTAGAACTTCTCAGTACTTCAAAATGCTTATGCTGGTTATGTGAAGACAAATCTTTCATTTTAGTTTGGAGGGTTGCAGCATGTGATAGAGGAATGTCTTGTTCAGTCTTAATCATCATTAGCAGATGGAACAGTATTGAACTTAAATGTAGTGTCTAAAATGTACAGCACTCCCCAGCTGCATTTCTAAGATATCTGACTTCTGAACACTCCCTCTGAAGTATTTTTGCCTCTGTCACTTAATAGCTTTTTTTAGCTTGGCATGAATAAATTAAAGATTATATGGAAAATGTTTTTCAATTAAATACCATTGGTTCATTGGTATTGGTCTCTTAGGATGTTTAAAAATTTTGTTACTGCATTATTAAAATGTTTTGGTTGTTTGATCTATTAGAACTAAATTCTAAAAGCTCTATCCTATTTGCATGAGAATCTCTCATCATTGCTGCTATGTGACAGTCTTAGAGCTGACTTTCACTGAACCTGATGCATTTTTACATCCCAAGAAATCAGCAGAAGAAAATGATCGAAGATCAGCAAGTTATTTTACTTTAAAGAACTGCTTTTTGAAGAAGCAATAAGGAAGTCTTTCTCCTGCTTTTTTCCCTTCCACCAAATTACTACCACTAACTTTTTCAGATGACATTCATTTGAATGAAGTGGTAGTAGCAAAAAGGTACTTACAATAAGTAATGGCAAGTTAACTCAGGGATTAAAGAAATGAGTAAGTTTCTAAATCAGTTGTCTACAACGTGACTTAAGTTTTTGTGACAATCCCTTGCTACTCTGTTCTGACGCTTGCATTTTGAGGGAAGTATATTTAACTCCTACTAGCAATATCTTCCTTGTTATGCACTCAGTTTATCAAGCAGCTTTTTTCCTAAAGGAGCTGGGTTGCTCAGTTTACTGCAGTGAAGTACTGTTCCCGTTTGGTAGTGCACAGGTGGTCTTACAGTTTATATGCAGGAGTATTTTAGAAGGGAAACTTGATTTAAGAGAAGCCTTTCTGGGTATGTTCAGCATGCTTTGAATAGAAAAATTGTATTCTTTGTCTGTAGTAATGTAGGCCAGAGCCTGCCTATTTGACCTTCCTGGACACATGCTCTTCTCTCCCTGCATGGAGAATGGAACTACAGGGCAGTAAGTGTTATCAGTGGGAGTTTTATATGTAGGAAAACCATAGAAAGATATGGGGGGAAAACATTGATTCTGTATCTCAAATTATTAATCAAACACACTAGCTGTTCTTGCTGGTTGAAAGAAACTCTGAACTGTTGAGAAAACAGGGTTCTAGTTCATCGCTCTGGTGAAAGTTGTCCCAGAGCTGTCTGTTGAAATAGTTTTCCTTGCTTTATATTGTCCATCATTGGACAATGTAATAGAAGATAAGGCCTTTGATACAAACATCCCAATGAGACTCTTATAAGAGTTTTACTCACTTTTTAGTCATCTTCCATAACTCAGCTGCTCTTATTAAAGTAAAAAAAAAAAAAAAAAAAAAAAAAGAACCCTATCAAATGTTCTTTTTGGAGAAGAACATTAAAACATGGATTGTGAAAGGACTTTTAAGACTATGCATTATCTAGTTTCCACCTATTATATGCTAGTTTTGGCCTATAAAAGGGGATCACACTCACCTTTGCAAGTTGCTTCCTTTTTAGATAGGCAACAATGAACTGAAATTCTATTTTTGTTTCAGAGAATATTAAACTAAAAAGATTTAGTTTGATTTGAACTACGTCAAATGCATATGGCAAATAGGGACTATTGGGGGAACCCTTTGTTTTTATCAGCTGCAGTTCTTTAAAGGGTCTTGTAGGAGTTTTGTAAATTTACTTTGTATTTAAAATCAGTATAAAGGCTGGTCAAATGTAATATAATTGTGTAAACAAATTCTGTTAATAGAAAGATGTACAGATTCATTTTGTACTGTATCTTTAATCTTGTGAAATAAAGATACCACCTGTGTGGTTACCCTCAGTGTTCACAGTGGTTATGATAACAGAGGATGTCAATTGTTAGTCATATGCTCTGATACATGCCGCTGCTAAATGCATCCCTTCCTGTAAGGATACTCGCGCTTCTTTCACTTCTATTCTTCTTCAAAAAAATAAATCTGTTAATTTAGGAGGGGCATAGAAAGGGGAGTAGAAAATTATGCATTGTATCTTCAGCTGTGCTAGAAACTTGCTCTCTGTTTGTGTGTACGTGTGACCCGTTCTTCAGTGTATACAGCATCTGTACTGTGTGTGGCAGACACAGAACTGCTGTGTGATTCGAGAAGAGTGACCAGTAACTGGAGGATTATTGTTGCATTTTTCAATACTAATGCAGGGATAATACAGTGACTAGAAACAGATACTGGGGGAGGGACTACTCCAAGCCGACAAGTTTGCTTGCTTTTCAGGCCTTTTTCTACCCACTCATCCCTTCAGGCTCCACCTGTTGAGACCCTTGAGTCCTCCCTCGTAAATGTATTCTGTTGGTTTGCTTTCCAATGTGCTTATTAATTTGGAAGAAAACATTAAGGAGAGGGAAAGTAAGGAGAGTGAGGGAGCAATGATAACGGCTACGGAAGGCATGAATAGGTAAACTGTCTCGGGCATCAGCCCAAGTTACATAGTTTTCTGAAGTATTTGGAGGCTTCCCGTGTTGTCTGCTGCTGCCAATAGCACTTGTTGCAGGTAGGAAACAGAACTGCTGGTACTAAAACCAGCTTGAGTCTGACTGATGTAGCTCAAGCCTAGTGAGGTCATCCTTCACTTTCCAAAAGAGCCCGTGGCTTGAGATGCAATTCCTGATGTGCTCAAGTGAGATGGGGTCAGAAGTGTAAATACCTTATTTTACTTGTAGCCTGTAGTCAATAGGGAGTTGTTTTCTGTGGTGGGACTAGAGTACCAGGTATATAAATGATTGTGCGGTTTGGGGGTGGGGTGTGTTTTTTCTTTTTATTTTTAAAGAAAGAGCCACTGAATAATGTTCATTGAAAGCTAGTATATTTGGTTTGGTTTCCTGGCTTAGGTGGTTTTGTTTGGTTTTTATGTTGCTTTATTCTCCTTAGTCTAAGACTGAAACACTTCATTGAAAATGAAAATATTAATAGAAAGTATAGTTTGTAGACCTGCGACACTTGTTTCATTAGAATGTGTTATTTGATATAATGCCAAAGTGTTCTTCCTCAGCTCTAAATGATCCTGACCTTAATGGCATTTCTGAATCCTGACTTTAATTCCTATTTTTATAAAGAACTAGTGAGGAAAAAAGTCACTC